TAAGCATCTGACTTCTTTTGGTCAATAACATTTATTACTCTTTAGATGTGAAACATATTCCCAAAGCTTCCAGTGCTCAAATATATGGCATTTGGTAAGTAGCTAGATGATGGGGGCACAATACTCACAGTGGATTTATCCGCTGATGAGCTCATAGCTTAATGTACTATTAAGAGGTAAAAACTGGTCATAAGAGGCATGCTACTCGAGGCATGCCTTTGGAGGTATTCCTCTCTTCTGAAGTTCTCACTTCTCTCTGCTTTGTGGCTGCTATGAAGTAGCAGCTTCTAGGAGTAGCTTTCCTCACCACATCTTTCCATCATGTTATTTCTGAGAGCCAATAGCCCAGTGTGGCATGAGTTCCACTGTGGGCTGTTTGTAATAGTTTGAAAGCTATTTTTATGGGATTTTTTAAAAAGACAAAACATGCTAATCCATGACTTGCTTTTTCTAACCTAAACTCTCACTATTAACATTTACTTACAATGTTGGCACATCGCATTAAATGGGTTTTGAGGATTTCAGTTTGGACACTTGGTCTCTAAAAGTTTCTCATTCACTGGACTAAACTATGAAGTGAACTGCCTGTACCATAAATTGAATTGAACATCTCTTTCTTTAAGTGGTATCAGGTATTGTGTCTCAGCAATGGAAAAACTGACTAATACACTATACAAGTAGAAGTAACAAGTACTAGTTAGAAGCATAATCCTTAAGAATCATCACATGATTTTCATACATAATTTTCTTTACTACAAAAATCAGCATGTCCCAGAGGAGACTGATTCTTCATGATACATCTCAGAATGAATACAATCTGGAGCAGTAATAGGCTACCCATAATGAATATAAAGGCAGGCAAGAAATAAATGTTTGTTCTACACTATGGAGTAACTGAAAATATTTTTATTACAGTATTTACATCCAGATGATGTTTAATAACTGTTTATAAAGAAAGTAGGTTATATAAAGAAAACAAATTTTAGCTGCATAATTTGAGTCAATTTTATTTTAAATAAAAATATTCTGTTAGAAAATACAACTTTCACAAGTTGATAATTTTGAAAAATAATTGGAAATAAGATTGATAGATAAACATACTACTAAGTTTTTGTTAGTTCATCAAACAGAATACTTTGTACTGTCATTGTTTGATGTCCACTTTTTATGCTTGATTTTGTGACTTGAATCACTACTTCTAAGATAGCAATATGTAATATATCAACTAGTGATTTCTTACTGTTTTTTTTAAATTCTGTATTATTTCTATCCTTTTTAAAAACTTTTTTTTTCTAAGTTATAAAAAGGAGGAAGGTGAAGGGTAGATTACAGAAGTACATATTTCTGGTAATACATTAGGGTGAAAATAAAAGCTGATTCTTGCTAAATGAGCAAAATATCTTCAGAGAAGATTTAAGGAATCTAAGTATCACTTGGAGAGGTGTTCTGAGAATGGGTAAATATGTATAATTTTTTTTTTTACTTTAGTTAAAATACACTAAGATCACTCCCTACACAAGCACTCTACTGTTGTGATATTTTCAGACCTGAGTGTCCAGACACACATCTGGTAGATAATCAAGCAGATGTCAAAAAACTGGAAAGAAAACAGTAAAGTATACCATAAGAAAAGAAATAAAATGTTTGCTAGTTAGAAGTGGTACAAATTGGATGGGTGAATCGACAGATAATAAATGCCTTCATGTTTTAAGATTTGAGTAAATATCATTTTCTTTCCTTATCTTCCTTTTTACATCACTCTGGTAAAATACATATCACCCAAGTCATAAAGTCATATCAAGATACTGAAGTGCCACTCTGTCAAACTAATGAAAAGCAGTAGGCGGTAGAATGTAATTCAAGTTTTTCTTGGCATTTCATTTTACCTTTGGATTTATTACTTCTTATTTAGAGATATGTGATCATCTTCAACAGATCCTAAAAGTATATGTTTACGAAAACATTAATATCTAATCATCCAAAGGCAGTATAGCGTCGTTTAACTTAGTCAGATTCAAATTACTTTTCTCTGGCCTTCGCTAGAAGATATTCTCACTACATTGAAATAGAATGACACCCATTTGTCAGGTGGAAATTGAGCTTTTTCATTTCTACACTAACTTCTTTATAATTTTATTTTGTTTCTGACTAGAACTATCTGTAACATATAATTTTAAACTTACAACCTGAAATTATAACATTAACGATATAATGTTATCTTTTATGATTTCTTGAACTGAATGATTTATAACTGGAAAAAAGCAAAGACAGAGAAAAATATGATGATAGATAAGTATATGAAGAGTCTTTGGTCATGACACTTTTCTTCTATGCATAGACACCCTGAAAAAAAGTTTATGAAGACAAGCTTTTTACAACCCCCAGGAAATTCAATGAATGAATTGTGAAGGGTAAACTCAACCTATTATAATCTTTCATTTCTTATGTAATATTCATAATCATAGCATTACATAAGACTGAGCTAATGTTAACAAAAGGAACAATTTAAATTCCCTTTCTTGGAGAATGGTGTTCTGCTTGACAAACAGAGCTTCCTGCCTCATTTGCAGCACGCCCATGCATCTCCTGGAGTGCCAGTGAGACCCACACTCTCCTATCAGTGACATAATAAACCTTCCACAACAGAGGGAGAAAACAAGGCAAACAAGCCCACTTCATTTCAGCTTGTCAGGTTTAAATAAAATCTTCTGTTGCTGAAAATGAAAAAAGATAATGTGTGAAGTAATCAAATTCAACATTGGGACAAAACATATTGCATTACTTTGACTTTTTTTTTTTTTCTGTCTTGATCTTGCCACAAAGTTTTTAAAATTTCACCATTTGTAACTTTTAATGAGTTATCTTGTCAAAGAGATGTAGAGAAATTATTGGTCTGTTTGGTATGTTCATTTTTCTCCTCACACTGTGGATGCTTTAGAAAGTATCTCAACTTAACACAAATATTTGTAATACCTTAATAAGTAACATATGACACAAATATTTGTAATACCTTAATAAGTAACATATAACATATTGGAATAACTTTCAGTTGTTAATTTTTAAGTCAGGGTTGGTGTATCAGGACATAATGAAAAAATACATTTTTGTTATTTTTCATTTTTATGATTTGTTTGTTTTATAGGGACTGAACTCATCACTTTGCACTTAACAAACAAGTGCTTATGTCACTGAGCTAAATCCTCGGCTCCATTTTTGTTTATTTTTATTAGTACAAATTGATTACATTCATGAGGAGTTAGTACATGCACATAACACATTTTAATTTTGTCCTATTTGCTTCCCCTCTTCCTCTCTCCCACTCCATCTCTTGTTCCTCTTATTCTTTGCAAAAGATCTATCTTCTTATCTTTTATTTAGTGCTATAATTTACTTATGTGTGGAGTTCTCATATAAGAGAAACCATGTGATATTTAAGTTTCTGTTACTGCAATTATTTAAATAATGTTTTCCCCAGTACTGTTTTTCTACACCAAATACTGAATCATGTTCTCTCATTCAGGAAAAAATAAGCTTAAGCGCACAATGTACTTAAAAAGATCATATCAGTGAAACAAATAATGCTTGATAATGTAAACCACTTCCTTCAGCCTTTTCTTAGTGCTCACTAACCTCCACTCCTTTCTTAAATCCAAATACCTTCCTGTTTGAATTTGGAGCCTATACTATGTTCTCCTTTAGCTCTCTCAATATCCTTATTTCTTTTGTACTATTTTCTGTAACTGTCAAAAGTTTTCCTTTCCTAAGAGAGAGCACAGCACCACTTATTCCCATCAAACACACTGCACAAACAATGTGCATTAAGTAGAGAAGAGGAACAACTCAGAAACTCCCTCCCTCTGGATGCCCTAATGTTTGCTCAAATGTGGTTTAAGCAATCTCTCATTCTCTGTCTCTACCTTTCCAGTACTGGGGTTTGAATCCAGAGTCTTAATACTGAACTACATCCATAGCCTATTTTATTTTGACACAAGTCTTACCATATCACTAAGTTGCCAAGACTGTGTTCAAACTTGAAATTTTCCTGTCTTACCCCTCCAGTGTGCTGGGATTATAGACATGTGCCTCCACATTTGTTTTAAATAGTTTCTTGTGTTTTGTTTTCATTGTAATGTCTCAGGAAGTATCCAAAAACCTTAGAACACTAGAATACTTTTCCCTATTCTGCTATATTCTTGTATCCTTTATATTCTTATAGCTTTATGGTGTGAATGCTCTCATTTTCCTTCTTCACTTAGTAGTATATATTTGCTATACATAATAGGTACATTAGTTGTAGAAGTTGATACACACACACACACATATATCCATACCACATCTTGGTCCTTTATGCTTCCCTTTCCCTTTCTCTGTCTTGTCTCCCCACCCCTGTATACTATTATGTGTCTTTTATTTTGCTCCTAAATTATCTACACTTTGGGTTTCATGTATCTTGGGTATTGAAACCAGGGCCGCCTACATACTAGCCAAGTGCTCTGGTACTGAGTTATATTAAAACTTTGCAGGTAATTATCATTCTATTAAATGCTGATATTTCATGCTGTATCATGGATATTCTCAAGTTAGACCTTTTTTTTTTTTCTAAAATAAAATCTCAGTATTCAGGTTTAATTGCAGTGTTGATACTTTGTTGTAAATAAGTGGGTTTTGAATTGCAGTTTGAAAAGTTGGTCTCTAAAACGTTAGCCATCATTGATATATGGCATTTTAAAACTGGTAAAATTCTCTCAAAAGCACTAAGTTATGCTTTGCAGATCAAGGTAAGTGAGGCTGATTTAACAATCTGAGATACACAGTTTTTACTGTGTTACTATGTAATTTTAACAAGCTGGCATATTAACAGGCATTAAGGTATAATGCAGGACTATCATGTGACCTGAAGTAGCCATTGCATTACCAATATTTCAAAATGAATTCTACAAAGCAAATAAGTCATTTGCCCAAATTTCTGTTTTAAATTGAGGCTTCTTTGTTTTCTACAGCGATGGCTGGGCTGATAGGTATGATGTGACAGATGGATATCAGCGAGAAGCTGTTGGTGGAATCACAATCAAGCTCCAGTCTCCTGATGTCAAGTGGTTTGATGATTATTATCTGAAGCTCCGGCCAGAAACAAACCTTCGAAACCCTTGGTTTCAAGAATTTTGGCAGCATCGCTTTCAGTGTCGGCTGGAAGGGTTTGCACAGGAGAACAGCAAATACAACAAGACTTGCAATAGTAAGATTTATTGTTTCATTTAAAGTGGGAAAGGCTCAAGCTCCAATTTACATAAAGTGTGTCAGGGGGGTAGTGGCTGTAATTTGTTAGATAAAAGGTCTCTTGCATAAATAGAGTGAGTATTACCACTTAATGGTGATAAACAGGTTTTAGACTCACTAAGAAAAACGTATCTGAGCAAGTGTTTACTCTACTGAGATTTAAAAGGATTATATTATTTCTATTTATATCATTCAAGAAATGATACATTTCTGTAACCCCCTGTGCTAAAAAGATCATATGAGCTCCAAAATACAACAATTCTTGGCATCCTTGAAGGCAGAAAGACTACATTCTATTCATCTCTATTGTCTCAAGCATTTAACACAGTGTAAGTACAAAACGTGAGCTTCATAAATGTCTGAAGAATGAATAAAGGAATGTTAAAGGGTAAATCCAATTCCTATTTCAATTAATAAATCATAAAATAACATCAAGTATTTTGTTATGTATAACTAGGATGTTTCATGAAACATAATAAAAGCATGGTCGTTCATTCAGTTTTCTACAATTATTTATCAAGATTCACAAAGTACTAAATACTGCCTTAGTGGTAAGGGGGGAAAAAAGATAATGCTAGATCCTGCATTCAAAAGTTTAGTGTCTAGGAAAAGAGATAGTTATGCTAATTAAAACTGAAATTCAATATTGTAAGTGATACAATAAGGGTTACACACAGAATCTGGCTAGTACTATTTGAAGCACATTCATAGAGTCTTAACATTAGTAACCAGAGTTAATATTGATGTATACATCAATTTCTTTGGACATTAAAGTTTTCTAAAATTGATAAAATTTTTGTGATTAATTTATACCACATTGCATAATAAGAGTAAGCACACTTATAAAATAGTTTTATTCAGACAAAATTGCCATTATGCATTGTGTTAGAATACCAGAGTGCTTTGGGGGTAGTGTGATGATAATCGTTCAAGAACCATTTCCATTCCATAGACAACCTATCCCATATCAGTATCAAAGTGAGGAAAATAGTGAATTCATATAAGGTATTCTCCTCAAGGTCCCATGTTTTTCACTATTTTGTATAATGATGAAGATAGCAAACGTCTGACCATGATTGTTTTTAAATGTTATTGCTTGGTGAAATACACACTTATCAACTTTATATCAGTTCTTATTTGGGTAGTTGAACAGGCAAGGGATTTAAGAATGGAAGATAAATGCATGATGAAATCCACATAGGCATAATCTAAATGTAAGTCTGCTTTCTTCTCTTAATTTCCTTCTGCATTCTACCTCAAGATCTTCCAATGTAAGAATTTTTCTTTAATTTTCAAGAAAAAATGCATGAGAACAAATATCATTGTCACATGCTTCACAATTTCAATTTTCGCATCTAATTTTAAATTTTTCACATTTCTACTAAGTCTCAGAAAGATAAACTTCTTGACTTTCTTATGTAATTTTTTAAACCTCTTTTTTTTTTTTTTTTTTTTAAACCAGGAATCAAACTCAGAACCATGCACTTGCCAGGCAGGTGCTTATACCACTGAGCTATATCCCCAATCCTTCTTTTCTGGGAAACATTACACCAATAAGAACGGATACCATCAAGGACTCAAAACACATAAATAAATAAATAAATAAATAAATATTGGCAAGATTGTTGGAAAAAATAAGTCTTTTGAATTTTGAGGGATGTAACTGATTTGATCCAATATTCCTCTTTTGGATATCTTCCTGAAAGATTTAGTTTTCATAGTACAGTGATACATACAAATTCATTTACAGTAGCACAATTCATAACAGCTAAATTATGAAGTATCACATTTAGCCATCCATAGAGAAATGAATAAAGAAAATATGGTACATGTACATGTATACAATAGAATGCCACTCTAACATAAAGAAAAATTAATATGAGTCATTTCCAGAAAAATGGATGGATCTTGAGACAATAATGGTAAGTAAAATTAATCAGATTGAGAAGACTAAATATTGCATAGTTTCTCTTACATGAGAAAATCAAAATATTAGCAAACTAAAGAACAAATAACAGAGGGATGGTAGGAAGCAGGGAGATAGGCTTTTAGAGGTTTAAAGGATATCTGGGAAAGGTGTGGTAGGGAGATAGTGAAATTAAATTATAATATATCAGTAATCAAAATAATTGTGGAGCTCAAATTAGGAAAAGAAAAAAGCATATACTGTAGGATTCAATGTCACTAAAACTTTAGAAACTACAAAGTAATCTATAGTGATACAAGGCAGATGAGTGGTTTCCTATGAACAGGAATGAAGGAGCAAAAGATTGCAAAGTGCAGGAGAAAACATGGAAGTGATGGTAGTTTCATGGAAGTCTACACATCTGTAAACTTCTTGACTTATTCACTTTCAATGCATGTGATTTTTAAGTCAATTATATGTTAATGAAGCTGTCCAGAAGTGTTTAAGGAAAAACCATAATCATCATATATATGTTATAAACATATAAAATAATCCTATTTGCCCCAGGTTCATTTTTTAAGTTCTACAAATAATCAACCTTTTTGTTTCTCATAACTTATTATTTTGATGCCAACCAATAGAAATTTGTTACATAAAGGATTCATCCCCTTCTGTAATCCCTATGCTCATTCTTTTAGCTGCTGGGACAAGATTCTCTCCTAGTTGTTCAGATGGCTCAGAAGAGTTGTACTGTGTAATGCCAGCAGTGAGAGCTCTTAAATTCAGCCCCACCATCCTCTCCCTTTGTTGCCTTTGGTCAGTTCTTTAGCTTTGCCTTCTTCATTTATGCAATTCAGATAACTTATATTTTGGCATCAATGAGAATAAAATAGCATAACATGTAAGAATCTTATCAAAAAATCTCTAAGAAATGTATTAAAACTTGACACACTTATGTTACCATAGAGAATGTGCATTAGAAACTATTTGTATTTAAATTATTGTGGAAAAGAAATGCACCATGTAGAAATGGTAACTATTTGAAGAGGTAGATACATTTTGCATGATTTGAACATTGTTATACAATGTCTACATGCACAACCACAACATATGGAACCTCATAGATAGATGATAGATAGATAGATAGATAGATAGATAGATAGATAGATAGATACATAGATACATAGATACATAGATAGATAAACTTTTATATGTCAATTAAAATAATGAAGTCAATGAAAAGCAAAAAAGAAATTCAGCATATAATGTTAATAATATTAATAACCTATAATCTCCAAGTTGGAAATGATCATTAATACGATGTGAGAAGCATGTGACTGAAAAACTCAGCAGCCTCCTCTGTCCTTAGTCTTCATATTAACATAGATATTTCATTTCTGCATACCTGTCTTGTAACAGGTGCCTTCCCCAACAATTATAGAGTTCTATTCTTAATTTTAATTTTCTGGCTGATGCCAGATGCTATATATGAGTTTACTCATATTTCCATGGCAACTATGTGGGATGGTTGTTGCCACAGCCCCCATGGTTGGACACGTGTACAGACATTTTTATAATTGCTAGTGTCACAACCTTTAAAAATTGTAGAGGAATGGCACCCAAGCCAGATGGCTTCTAAATAAAGAAGGTGGTGTCTCTCACAGCTGTGAAAGAGCAAAGAAGTAACAAGACAGCCTACTATCAAAGACAGGGTTGCTCAGAAAATGGTGTGAAAAACCCTGATTATTAAAAGTTAATTTACAATAACAAATCATTAGTCCACTCTTACAAAATTGGGTAATGCAAAGGTAGAATCCATAGAAAATATATGATCTGGTGCTTAATATCAGGTTCCTTACACTTTTCTCAGGAATAATATATATGACATTGAACTAGAAGTCCCATCAGCGAATATATTTGGGGTGCCTACTATTTACCACTTACTAAATTTTTTTGAGAGGCTAGAGCTATAGCGTTGAACAAAATAGGCATTCATTCTTAGGGAGAGGGAGATCAAAATAAAACAAATAAAATAATTATATTAGATGATGATCATTGCTAGCAGAAAACTATAGCAGGAAAATGAGAGTTAAAATTTTGAAATAATACAATTTAAATAGGATAGGCAGGCTTGATTTTATTAAGCTGAAGCTTTGTAGATAGAACACAAAAAGAGGAGGGAGTGGTGCAGGTGTACATGGGGAGATGATTCCAGAAGTGGAAAATCGTGAAAATAAGGCTAAATTATGTGCGCAGTAAACATATTTTAGGCAAGAATTGGGAAGCCAGTTTAAAAAGCAAAGTGAGGGGACGCAAGCAGCAGATGATGGAAGATAGGCAGAAGAAGAGAGATTCTGCAGAGCACTGTTGGCTGTGGTTTTAAATTTGTCTTTGAGTTTAATGAAATAAGAAGTCATTATAGGATTTGAGCAAAAGAAGGTCATGAACTGGAACTTCTTGTTACAACATTTAAAAACTACCTCAGAATCTTGCTTAACAGATATTTATAGCAGTAATAATTAGATAACATGATACAGTAGAAATTTAACAAGTGCCCTAAATTTGTATCGATATGTTGTTTATACAACTACCTTGAACTAACTGGCTAATATCAGTCATTAAGGTGATATGATACATGTTACTATAGGGCCATATAGTCTGATATGATACATGACACTATAGAATTACTGCTTAAAATTTTCCAGAAAATCCAGTTTTAATTTTCTTTTAGATCTCTGTTACTGGAACAAAGATTCAGGAATGCAGAGTCATGGTATAGAAAGAGCTTGATTTCCTGAGTCACTTGTAAGACCAAAAAAGAGCCTAATAATCTCCCTTAGGCTGCTTCATGAACAAAAAATAAACTTCTATTTTGTTAAGCTGTTGAATATTTGAAAGTTGTCATAGCAGCTATTATCTTAACTTACATACATACTTTCCTACTGTTCCTAATAGACAGCAGTCTTGTCATGATGTGTAAATCCCAGTCTATAGTGACTATAAGAATTACAGCCTCTATTTCCATAGTGATTTCCAGTGACTCTGTTAATTTG